TAGCCAGGGAAAGATTCTGGGAAAATCCACTAAGAGTTCTAGAACAGGTTAGGAGTTCTAGCATAGGCCCTTGGCAAGATGGAGGTTTGTGAAACAGGCAACAGGGGCTCAGAATACAGGGAGGAGGGAGAACGGGTATGTTGAACCTTTATGCCTCAGCCTTTCAAACCTCTACCCTCAAAAAACCTTATTGGAGACTAGACATGGTCTGGCAAGGTCTCCAGCATCTTTTCCTTCTTGCGTGGCAAAGAAAACATTCTTGTGGGATTACAAAAGACCTGAGAAAGTAACATATTTAATTGATATTATTTCCTATTTCTGGAGTTAAAATTAATGCAATATTACACCCAGAGAGTTGACACCAATCAATAGAATAGAGTTCATTCTTTATTTTTCTGAACTGTATGGTATTTTCTTTTTGTTTGTTTTTAATAACCATGTGATACAGTTACAAAGCTATTTGTGGTTGGGTTTCAGTCATTCAGTGTTCCAACACTCATCCCTTCATTCTTTTTTTAAATTTTTATTAGTGAAACACCATGAGGTACAGTTGTAGACTTACAAATTTTGGAATGGTGGCTTTGGGCTCCTCGGTAGACTATACGTGTAGTCATTGATTGGTTTGCTCAGTAGAACATGGTTTTTATATAAAGTTCAAGCAATGAAAGGCATGGATGGAAGGAAAGTTTTAGAGAATTACTGAAATAAGGGAGATTTGACAAATTGGAGATTAAACTAAATGTGTTAAACAACAGGTGTCATAGATTGTTATCATTTTAAATTAAGATCTGTTCCTAGCCAGAAGCATTTTGCTGAGGAAGTTCCACTATGTTAATATTCAGAGATTAAAAAAAAAAAAACTACCGAGAAGGAGCCGAGTAGTAGTAATGGGTTAATACAGCAGAAAAGTTTTCCTTGAGAGGGAAGAATAATGCAGATAGTTGACTGGATATAGATGTCTAAGAGGAAACTCCTGTTAGTTAAATACCATTTGTTTTGATACATAATTGTAGGTGAAGAAACACAGTTAAAAAGTATAGTAAGACACAACCCATAATAATAAAAGTATTCACCTCTGCTTATGCCTGGTTTTGAGATTTGGAGATTGTTCAGAGGGGAGTTTGCTTTTTCTGAACTGTTTGTGTAGAAAAAAATTTTTAATTTTTTTAAGACACTGTGATTAACCTTGCATGTTCATTGCAGCACTGTTTACAATAGCCAGAATCTGGAAAAAACCCGAGTGCCCGAGAACAGATGACTGGTTAAAGAAACTTTGGTATATCTACACAATGGAATACTATGCAGCTGTTAGAAAAGATGAAGTCATGAAAATTGCATATAAGTAGATCAACATGGAGAGTATCATGCTAAGTGAAGTGAGTCAGAAAGAGAGGGACAGACATAGAAGGGAGGCACTCCTTTGTGGAATATAACATAACAGAATAGGAGATTAACACCCAAGGATAGTAGAGATAAGGACCAAGAGGATTGCTCCATGGCTTGGAAGCCAGTCTCACACACTAGGGGAAAAGGCAGCTCAGACAGAGAAGGGACGACCAAGTAAAGGATGACTGGAGGGCCTTCTCGGATTGGGAGATGTGTGCTTAAAGTACACTATAGACCAAACATGATGGCCACTTAATACCTGTATTGCAAACCACAACACCTAAAGGGCAAGAGTAAAAGGGAATGCACCTGCCACAGAGGTGGCGGGGGAGGGGTGTTGGGGTGGAGATGGTGGGAAGGATACTGGGAACATTGGTGGTGAAGAATGGGTACTCGATCATTGTATGACTGAAATGTAAGCAAGAAAGTTTGTATGTCTGTAACTGTACCTCATGGTGATGCATTAAAAATAAAAGACACTGTGATTTACAATGTTATTCATGGTTCTGTTTCAGGCATACAATATTCTAACACCAATTCCCCAGCCAATTTCCCTCCACCAGTGGCCCCAGGCTCTCTCCCTACCCCAGCCTGACTCCTTAACAGACACATTTTTAACTGGTTATTGTCATTTATGTTTCATCCTTTTAGTATTGTTGGCTTTGTGGTTTAGATCTATAAAGACACCGCACCACTACCATACTGATGTGCCCAAGACCCTTGCCTCTTGCCTGTATCACTTCCCCTCTGCCTCTTCTTACTTGCCCCCTTGATTTCTTTCTATCCCTGTTCTTCTTCCTGTATTCTAGGAAGTGCCTTGTCAAAGGGTCAAGCTGTGAATTTGAGGGGGATGAAAGGGAACCTGGAACATTGGTGGATAGAGGTTGACACTGGTGGTGAGATTGCTGTTGGAACATTGTGTGCCTGAAACTCTATTATGAATATCTTTATAAATTGTGGAGCAGATAGGGCATTTGCCTTGCACGCAGCTGACCAGGGTTCAATTCCTCTGCCCCTCTCAGAGAGCCTGGCAAGCTACCAAGAATATCCTGCCTGCACAGCAAAGCCTGGCAAGCTACCCATGACGTATTCAATATGCCAAAGATAGTAACTAGTCTCACAATGGAGTTGTTACTGGTCCCCACTCGAGCAAATCGATGAACAATGGGAGGACAGTGCTACAGTGCTACTCAAACCTTTCATCAACTAAAATAGTAATTACTGTTTTTTAAGTTTTTCTTTCCTTGAGTTTTATCTTGTTCATTATTTTTAAACATATTCCTTTGTATCCTCATTTTGTTTGAATTCTGTATTTATTGGTATAGGTTATTCAGACTCAGGTATATATAATTCCACATGATATGAATTTTTCCCTAGTAGATGACATAACCACCTCTCCCATACTTAATGCCATCTTTCCCAGACCTTTATACAAGAGGTGAAGCAGTTCAGCCCAGTTCAACACAGTTCTAAGTCTGGTCTGCCAACCCTCTATAATTGTCCTAGCAATCCATTTATTTTCAATAGCTCTCAATAGTTGTGAGTGTGCCAAGACATGTCATTGCTCCAAAGGGAAGATTTTAGTTACCATGTATATTGAGATTGAGTGGAAGCCAGGCCCTCAAGCTTTTTAGGTATGCAAGTATATAGTCTTGTAGAAACCCAAACATGAGCCCTGCTGCCCACCTATGCTAGGCAGTCAAGAAGGGGAACATTATAAGATCAGATATGGTCAGATCTCTGTGTTTATGGGTGATTTTAGAGATAGAATTTGTATATGGATTTTAAAAAAATGTTTCCTAGTTTCCCATATAGATGAATTATGCAATAATTGTCCTTTTTTAAAAAATTCATTTCACATAATGCATTTCAATTCCTCATTTTGCTGAAAATGGCAAACTTCATTTTTATAACCAAATAGCATCTTCAGATATATATATGTACATATATATATCATATTTTATCTTAAGTAAAGCTACAGTAAACCTTGGAGTGATATGACATTTTGTGTTGATGATTTTTATAATCATATTGATACCAGTAATTGGGATTGCTGGGTCATACAGTAGATCTAGTTTAAGCTTTTTAAGGAGACACTGTACTATTTTCCCAAAGAATTACATCAATTTACAATCTCACCACCAGTGTGTGATGGTTCCTTTTTCACCATATCCTTGCCAACTCTTATTATTCTTTGTTGATATAAATCACTCTCACAGATATAAGGTGTATCTCAAAGCAGTTTTGATGTTTCCTTAACAATCATTGATGATGAATGTTTATTATATTCTTATTGGCCATCTGTACCTCTTTGGATAAGTGATTATGCAAGTCTACCTTTCCATAACTCCTTCCACAACTTCTCTTTCCTTGGCTGTTGTTGCAACAGTGTTCAGGGATTACACCTTTACTGATGGTGGTGTAAAGAACTTCTAAATGTGGTTCCATTGATCACAATGGCAAAACAGAGCCATTAGATTAACACAGTAATATTGAGTATTAACGATGATCAAATTCATGGGTTTATTTCCTGTAAAGCACAGAGTCATATATATGGGTTCTGACTCTATCCACATTGGGGGGTCAGGAGTGGGCAGGAGTTTTGGAGCAGGAGTTTGGGCCACATTCAGCTGTGCTCAGGTCTTACTTCTTAGTAAGTATAAGACCTTAGTCAGGTCTTATATCTCAGTATTTATCTCTAGGATCTCAGTTCTGATTCATTGATCTGTCAGCCTCTTCTTGTTCCAGTATCATGCTGTTTTGATTACTAGAGCTCTGTAATATAAAGTCAGGAATATGATGCCCCCCACCTTTGTTTTCTCTTCAGAATAGCTTTGGCTGTTTATGGTAAACAGGGTCAGAGTGATAGCAAGGTGGGTAGGGTATTTGTCTTGCACATGACTGACCTTGGTTTGATCCCCAGCATCCCATATGGTCTCCTGAGCACTGCCAGGAGTAATTTCTGTGTGGAGAGCCATAAGTAACCCCTGAGCACCACCAGATGTGACCAAAAAAGTCAAAAATAAAATAAAATGGGGGGGGGGGACAGTGGCAACAGAGCAATAATACAATGGGTAGGGAGTTTGCCCTGTATCAAGTTCAATCCCTGGCACTCCATATTGTTCCCAAGCCCCGCCAGGAGTGATCCTTGAGCACAGCCAGGAGTAAGCCCTGAGCCGGGTGTCACCATCAAAAAAAACCAAACAAATAAAAAACCTTTTTTTTTAATTTATAGCCTCATCTAATTTTAACATCAGGATATTATTCTCATAAAATGCATTAGGAAATATTCCTTCTTTTACTTTTTGGAAGTCTGAGAAGTTAGACTTAAGTTATTTTAAGGTTTGCTAAAATTCACTGGTAAAGCCATCTGATCCAAGACTTTATACTTTGGATATTTTAAAATTATCATTTCAGCTTTTATACTTGTGATTTGTCCATTCAAATTTTTCTGTTCTTGTTTCAGTCTCAGTTGATTGTATTTTCCCCCATTTATCTATTTCTTCTGAGTTATCAAATCTGTTGACATATAGTTTTCATAAGTAACTTCTAATAACACTTTGTATGCTGTCTATGATCACAATAAAATGTAATATTTCTTTCCTTTCTTATAGGTACCAGAGATTTGAAAAGGCATTTTTGTTAGCAGTTGATATTGGTGCTCGTGACTTGTTTATGGTGAGTCATTCTCAGACATGATTGTATGCCTTCAGTTCTAAGGTCATGTAAGTTGTCAGCTTTTGTGACCATTAAAAAAGGATTAGTGTCATTTGTGCTTTAGATACACAGGAGGGAAGTATTTTCCATCTTGACTTGCAGCTTTGCCTTCATGGAACTGGTCAATAGCCATCTAGGCCCTTTTGATTTGTTGACATTTTCCTCGCCAGGATCCAAAGGATTTTTTTAATGCTTTCTAAGAATTTATAATTCTTGAACTTTTCTCTCAAGTAGCTTGATATGAGGAGAGAATACCTTTCTATCTAATAAGTTTAAGCGCCTTTTACTCCATTCTCTAAAGAACTAATAGCCACAGAAGCCAGAACATAGGAGAAAACATAGCCCATTATTTTGAATATGCTCAGTAGGTCCTTTGGATTTTAGTGAGAAGTATCAAATTATATCTGTTCTGCCATTTTTATCTTCATGTGAGTAGAGAAGAGGCTCCCAAGCAATACTCAGGGGATCCCAGGGCCACTTCCACCAACATCAGGCCAACCAGACCAGGGAATTCAGTGCTTGGTCCAGTAAAGCGATATTTCTCAGGCCCAGTAGGCAGGACCTCCAGCAGGGCTTGGTGGACCATGAGGTACCAAGCATCAAACTCAGGGCCTCATGCATATGTGTCTGGTGCTTTAACTCCTTGAGTTATCTCCCTAGTTCTTCTCACTTACATTTTTTAAAATAATCATTGTAAATACAGATTATGATCACCAAATGGAGGATAACACTGAAAATTCTCCCCCAGATGATAGGGAAGCATTGCATTTCCTTACTTTAAATTTTAGTACAAAGACATAGTAATCAAAACTGTGTGGTACTGGAATAAAGATAAACTCTCAGTGGAATAGAATTGAGAATCCAGATATTAATATTCAGATTTACAGATAGTTATTCTATAAAAAAGGATATGATTGCATGAAATTGTTGAAAAGAAAACCTCTTTAACAAATAATTCTGGGAAAGGTGGAAAGTCACAATTAAAAATAATATTGGACCTATATCTCATGCCATACAAAAAACTTATTCATAGTAGATTAAATACCCCAAGATTATACCAGAATTCATAAAATTTGTTAAGGAAAAAACAGAGACAGAACATTCCAATATATGGAGTTTAGATGTTTCTAATGTTTTATTTGTTTTGTATTTTGGTGGTTACTGCTCTGGGGACTACTCCCATGCTTTGTAGTTGCTCCCTGGAAATTCTGGGGGGGTTCATGTCATGCTAGCAATTGAATCAAGGGACTCACACATACAAGGTAAGTATTCTACCACTGAGCCAAATTCCTGACCAAAGTGTTTTCAGTGATTTGACTCCATTGTAAATATAACAAAACAAAAGTAAAGAAATTGGAGTCCCTAAAGTTAAAATTATTTTGCATGAAAAACAAAACTCAGGATAATATTTTTTAAAACTTTACTGTTGGGGTGGGGGGACATTTGCTATACATACTCAAAAAGCTCAACAACCAAAAAAAAACCAATAACCACATCAAAAAAAGAGGAGAGGAAATGTGCAGACACTTCCATGGAAAGGACATATAAAAGTGTGTTCATCAATCAGATAAAAGATATTATATCCAGAATATATAAAGTACTCACAAAGATCAACCCCCCCAAATTAAAAAAAACCCTATAAAAAAACAGAGAGAGAAAATGAATAGACACTTTGAGACAGGTGGATGGCCAGTAAGCACATGACAAAATTCTCAGCATCACTTATCATCATAGAAATTCAAATCAAGATGACATTGAGATACCATCTCATATGAGTGAGAATGACAAATATAAAAAATATTAGGAACAATCTGTATTGGCAAGGATTTGATGAAGAAGGAATGTCTCATCCACTGCAAGTAGGAATGTTGCCTGATAACCTCTGAGGAAAGCAGTATGGAGAGTTCTCAGTAAACTTAGAATTAAACTGCCATATGATCCAGCAGTTCCACTTTTTGGCATCTACTACTCTCCCTCCATCCCCACCTCCCAGGCAAGACCATAAAATTAGTCTCTCAAAAGGATATATGCATGACATTATTTATTGCTGCACTCAGTACAGTTGCTAAGATACAGAATCAACCTTGGTGCCCAATGACAGATGAATGGATTGTGAAGATGCTGTATATAGACACAGTGGAATACTATGCAGCTGCAAGTAATGATGAAATCGTGCAATTTGCTACAGCCTGGTTGGAACTGGAAGATACCGTGTTGAGTGAAGTAAGCCAAAGAAAGACAAACACAGGGTGATCTTATTTATCTATGGTACATAGAATACTGGATGAGGAAATGTATTGTAGTAAAGCGGGGGAGTGTTTAGACCAAGCTTGACCCCAATTTTTAGAGAGGAGAAGGACAGAGAAGAAAAGAAATCAAGAGAGGAAGAAGAGAACAGGAAGTGATGGGTGAACAGGGATTAGGGCTAAAGTTATAGTGGTGATATACATGAGTGGCATACCCATTTATCCAAAACACAAACTCAAAAATTCTGAAAACATGAGCTCTAAGCTGCAGCCACTAGAACTTTGTAATGTGCTTATGAACTTGACAGGCAGGGAATGGGGCAGGGGTTGAGGAGTAGGGACAGAATATGGAAATACTGGTGGAGGGAAGTTGACATTGGTGGTGGGATTATTGTTGAAACATTATATGCCTAAAATTCAACTCTCAGTAGCTCTGTAGCACTGTTCTCCCATTGTTCATTGATTTGCTCAAGTGGCACCAGTAATATCTCTATTGTGAGACTTGTTGTTACTGTTTTTGGCATATCGAATATGCCACAGGGAGCTTTTCAGGCTCTGCCGTGTGGGCAGGATACTTTTGGTAGCTTTCTGGGCTCTCTGAGAGGGACGGAGGAATTGAACCCGGGTTAGCCGTGTGCAAGGCAAATACCCTACCCGCTGTTAACTTTATAAAATGAAAATTGTTCGACTCTCATCCACTGCTGGTGGGAATGTTGTCTGATACAATCCCTTTGGAAAACAGTATTGTAAGTGCTTGATTAACTTAGAATTGTGTTGCCATGTGACCTAGAATTGCCACTTTTGAGAATCTAACTTCAAAAGGACATATGTACACCATTATTATTTGCAGCACTTAGTGCATTCGCTGATATGGAATCCAGCTAGGTGTCCCAACAACAGTTGAATGGATTATAAAGTTGCAGACTGCACACACACACACACACACACACACACACTGAAATACTATATAATTGCAGGAAACAAAATTGTGAAATTTGCTGCAGTGTAAGATACATTAAATGAAGTAAGTCAGAATATGGATGAACATGGAATGATGTCATTTCATTTCATTTCATTTCATCATCCTGTTAATCGTCGATTGCCTCGAGCAGGCCCCAGTAACGTCTCTTTCATCCTAGCCCTGAGATTATATTCACGGCTCTTTAGGAGAATGAGACCCATCATTGTTACTGGTATTTGGCATATTTGGTAGGCCACGGGGAGTTTGCCAGACTCTGCCCTGTGGGCAGGCTACATTCGATAGCCTGCAAGTTTGTCCAAAGTAGGAATGAGATAATAAGATGTCATAAAAAGATGTCCTGATGCGGCCGCGTGGTTCCGGGATCTGGATTTTATAGTCTCTGAGTCTTGGCCGCTGATGGGATTACACGGCGCCAGGGGGCCAGGTGGTGGGTGTGACCCCCGCCTACTGGAATTTGGAGGATCTGGGTGGAAGATGCTCGACTCCTATTCGAGTAGACGTGGAGGTCTCGGCCCCGGAACCCGCGTGGCTGTGTCCCTCTGCCAGTACCTTCATGGGTGCGGAGAGTGGTCTCAGCATGGTGGTGGCTGGTCCTGGAGGTCTTCGGCTGCCGTAGCCCTGGTCGGGGCGGGGAGGAAAGCTCAACCCGCTCCCCTCCAAGGGACTCCGGGAAGGAACACCCAGGCGCGGGGGCAGAGACTGCACTGCTCTCGTCCGGGATCTGGATTTTATAGTCTCTGAGTCTTGGCCGCTGATGGGATTACACGGCGCCAGGGGGCCAGGTGGTGGGTGTGACCCCCGCCTACTGGAATTTGGAGGATCTGGGTGGAAGATGCTCGACTCCTATTCGAGTAGACGTGGAGGTCTCGGCCCCGGAACCCGCGTGGCTGTGTCCCTCTGCCAGTACCTTCATGGGTACGGAGAGTGGTCTCAGCATGGTGGTGGCTGGTCCTGGAGGTCTTCGGCTGCCGTAGCCCTGGTCGGGGCGGGGAGGAAAGCTCAACCCGCTCCCCTCCAAGGGACTCCGGGAAGGAACACCCAGGCGCGGGGGCAGAGACTGCACTGCTCTCGTCCGGGATCTCGTGCAGGGCTACGGCAGCCGAAGACCTCCAGGACCAGCCACCACCATGCTGAGACCACTCTCCGCACCCATGAAGGTACTGGCAGAGGGACACAGCCACGCGGGTTCCAGGGCCGAGACCTCCACGCCTACTCGAATTGGAGTCGAGCATCTTCCACCCAGATCCTCCAAATTCCAGTAGGCGGGGGTCACACCCACCACCTGGCCCCCTGGCGCCGTGTAATCCCATCAGCGGCCAAGACTCAGAGACTATAAAATCCAGATCCCAGATGTCATTTATCTGCAGTATATAGAATAATTGGACAAGGAAATTTAATGCAGGGAAATTCCTAGATCACTATTGACCCCATAGAATAAGGAGGAGAAGAACAGAAAAAGAAAGAAATCCAGGGGGGAAGAAAGAAGATAAAAAAGAAAAGTAATGGGGGAGCAGGGATCAGAGGCTCAGGTATACCAGTGATGTGGGAGAGTGCATAGCTATATATCCAAAGCACAGACTTGACAACACTGAAAACATGTGATTTAAACTACAACCATTGAAATTTGAAATGTGGCTGTCAAGGAGGCAGGCAGGAGGAGGAGAGACAGGAAGCAGTGGGTAGGTTGCCTGAGAACACTGGTGAAGGGAAGTGGACATGGTAGAGGGATTGGT